CAGGATCCCTCCCCTATATCTTACCATATGGAAGAAAGGCTAGCTAAGAGAGAGAAAAGAGAACTGCTGGCGCTGGGGATGTGGCTCAGCGGTAGCGCGCTCGCCTGGCATGCGTGCGGCCCGGGTTCGATCCTCAGCACCATATACCAATAAAGATGTTGTGTCTGCCGAGAACTAAAAAAAAGTATAAATATTAAAAAAAAAAAAAAAAGAGAACTGCTGTAAGAAAACCATGTTCAGGGCCAAGGATCTAAAGCCACTGGACCCCTCTGGATAAAGATCTCAGACAGAGGAGCCTCTACACCACATCAACAGAGTTTTTCCCCAGCTAGAGTCTCTACACACTGTTACTGCCCTCAGGACAAAGTCCATGACCCTTGGCCACAGCACACAAGGGGTTTTCAATCCAGCCCTTGACTACTTCATTCCCTGGGCCCATATCTTCTCATTATTGTTGTGTTTTGACACAGGGTCTCACTATGTTGTTCAGCTGACTTCAAATTTCTGGGCTCAAGCAATCCTCCTGCTTCAGCTTTCTGTAGTAGAGTGCCCCTGAGTTGCTGAGACTACAGGCATGCCTACCTTTGCCTCCACATCTTTTTATACATTGTGTCTTCTGCCTGAAGCATCTGCTCCTCACTTTGTTCACTGGAACACTAATTCCTCGTTCCATTAAGCATCATCACCTCTTATATGAAGCTTTCTCCAGAGGTGAAGGAGGAAATCTGGGCCACCCTGGATAGTACATACACTATCAGCTAACCTTTTCTCTATCATCCCTTGAGGTCACAAGCAGGGGCACATCTGTCTTCTCTATGAACAGACTTCATAACCTGTGGCCCTAGGGTTCAGGCCTGGGGCAAAATAACAAGGGCCTGTCTGCTGTATAGAATGAATGGACAGGGGCTGAGGATGTGGCTCAAGTGGTAGTGCTCTCGCCCGGCATTTGTGCGGCCCAGGTTCGATCCCCAGCACCACCTACAAACAAAGATGTTGTGTCCACCGAAAACTAAAAAATAAATATCAAAATTCTCTCTCTCTCTCTCTCTCTCTCTCTCTCTCTCTCTCTCTTTAAAAAAAAAATAGAATGAATGGATGGACACACTGTCTCTTGCCTAGCCACAGGAAGTCAGCTAAAGGAAGAAGCAATAGCTGGCTAATGATGACCAGAGATCCCTGCTCAGGGGCCCAGCTGCTGAGAACACCCCACCCCTTCTCACACTGTCCAGTGTTCTAGTCCAGGCTTGCTGTTCTTGAGTAGAGCCACCCATCACATGTCAGGAGGCTTCTGCTGCTGGGATGATGTTACAGTCTATTTTGAGGGTCACACTGGAGCATCGGTCAGCTGGGTCAGCCACACCCTCCATGTGTCATCACTAAAAGCCAGGGATACCCACAGGTCTGTAAACTCTGCCTGAAGAAGGTGGTGCCCGACCATGAACCCTCAGCTTAAGGGCCTCTTTGGCTTCCTGGAAAGTTCAACCTGGATGCACCTTATCTCCTGGCACCACTGGCAGGGCTCATATGCCTCCTTACCCCATCAGACCTGCTCTCAATGTTCACAGCTCTGGTGACTCGGTCCCCAGTACCAAAAAAAAAAAGGACACCATGAGAACAAATGCATTTCTTAAGAACCATGACACTAAAAACTGGATTCATGAAGACTTTCTACAAAGGAGATATATCCAAATCTCAGAAAAACAAGTTTACAAACTCAATGGAACAGTAAGTCAATAAAGCTATAAAGTCAATAAAGCTATTCTGACCATGTATATGCTATTTACCCTGAGATGACAGTGGCCACCACAGCTTTGATGAATGCTGCAAAGACTCTATTATCCCTTTGAAGCATACTGGGGCCTCTACATGACTAAGGTCTGATGAAAAAAAGTTTCTCCAAGGCAAATGCAGTCACTTTATTTCATGCCAACTTCCCTAGCCCCACTAAGCAATGAGCATCTTTCAGTTCTGTCCCCTACCACTGAAATTCTGTAAGCATCCAATAGGACATTCCCTTCCATTAATACAGTGAAGGAATGCAATAGCAGCCACAATGGGGAAAGGCAGTAGCAGCATAAACACTTGTACCTAGGATCAGATAAGGACATCTGACAAGTTAGGCTATTCCATTGCCCATCCTAAGCCCTGCAGCCAGGGTAGGCCACCAAACATTCCAGGGACTAAGGGTTCATCCAAAAAACAGATACATCATCATTTGCTCCAATCAGGCATGGTGGCACATATCTATATTCCCAGTGACTCAGGAGGCTGAGGAAGAAGGAAGGATCACAAGTTCAAAGCCAGCCTCACAACTTAGCAAGACCTTTTGCAATTTAGTGAGACCCTGTCTTAAAATAAAAAATAAAAGGATGGGGGATGGGCTAGGGATTAGCTCCATGATAGAGAGCTTTCCTAGCATGCATGAGGCCCTGGGTTCAATCCCCAGTACCACAAAAATACATTAAAAAAAAAAAAAAAAGGACTGGGGATGCAGTTCAGTGGTAAAGTGCCCTGGGATGAAAAATAAAATCATTTGCTCCATTCATTTCCTAGAGATACTATGAAGATCAAATCAAATCAGATACCTTGGGAAAGCTACACAGCTGGTTAATGCTTGGGTCATATACCAAACCAGGGTCAGAAATATACCTCTAACACTGACCAGAAAAAGGAAACAAATTGATTAATGTTTTCCTGCCCTATAACTGCTCTTGGCCTTCTCAAAACTATTCTATATGACTGTGGGTGTAGCTCAGTGGTAAAGTGCCTACCTAGCATGCGTGAGGCTCTGGGTTCAATTCCCAACACTGTCAAAAACAGAATAAACCACACCTGATCCATACCAATATCTGGCTATATCTCAACCAAGAAAAGGCTTTTGAGGATTTTATAAAGCAACCAACCACAAGGGGCCATCCATAAGTCACCATCTGATAATGGTCAACTGAGTAGAGAATCACAAGCATACATGACCTGGGACCTTTTAAAACTGAGGTCCTTTTAAACATACATGACCTTGAATCTTTTAAAACTTTTTAAAATGCTGGGGATAGAAGCTGAAAAAGCTGCCCACCTTTTGTTAGTCTTGTAGGCAACACCTACAATCAGACAATTCAACATAACAGAGTCTTTTTCAGCAAGATCCACTTAAAACTGAAATATTAAAAAGCCAGTCAAAGGAATCTAGGTCTCTAAATTAAACATTTCCCTTCTGAAAAGTATTCTTGTTTCTCAAAGATGTTATCTATGAAAAGACTACAGAGAATTGGTCCAGCTGGGCATGGTGGTGCATGAATATAATCCCAGTGGCTGGGGAAGCTGATGCAGGACGATCAAGAGTTCAAAGCCATTCTCAATAACTTAGCAAGGCACTAAGCAACTCAGTAAGACCTTGTTTCTAACTTAAATTCAATAAAGGGCTGGGGATGTGGCTCAATGGTCAAGTGCTCATGAGTTCAATCCCTAGTACAAAAAAAAAGTGAGAAAGTAGTCTATTTCCCTCCCTATAATTTTAAGGAAGATCTCTCAATTTCTTAAGCAATGAGAACCAGCATCAAAATCCTAGTCAGTACTATAACCATTTTTGAGTTACTTATTTTAAAAAGCCATTCTATTTTTTTTTTTTAGTTGTAGGTGGACACAATACCTTTATTTTTTATTTATTCATATGTGGTGCTGAGGATCGAACCCAGCACCTCACACGCACTAGGCATGAGCTCTACCACTGAGCCACAACCCCAGTCCCATTTTTAAGAAGCCATTCTCATTCACACTAATTCAAGCAAATTAAATATATATTCTTCTATTAGAGGGTGGCACAGGAAAATTAAGGCTCTAGAGCCCTCCAACAAATATAAGTTTTTCCTATCTGTTAACAACTAGATGGGGATAAAAAAGTGAAAGATCCAACAACTTCCCATGATTAGAATCTCAAAACCATCAAATGCTAGGATTAAAAGCAGCTTAGATGGTGGCCTAGCTCCCCAGAGTGTACATGAGAAGACTGGAGTCCCAAGATCTATCCAAATCCTCAGAGCCCTGCCAGGTGGGGGAGTTACAGCTTCCCTGAAGCAGGCTAGGCTCTTACTCTGGCAGTCCTACCCCAGCACAGTCCCTTGGGCAGGCATTTTGCACACACAAGGGAAACAGTTCCTAGGAGAGAAGAATTATTCTAAATGATAGGAAACACAAACTCAGGGTCAGCAAGGAGGTCACTGGTAGGGTTAACAAACTTCCCACACCAAACCTAAGGTCTGATGAAGAAAGTTTCTCCAAGGCAATTGCAGTCACTTTATTTCATAGTTTAAATACTTTAAACATAGCCACTGGAAAAAAAAGGAAGAGTGAGAGAAAAAAGAGATCGAAAAATGTCCCCTCTAATATCCTGTGTCTGCTTAAATCACCCTAAAGTAAGGAGTCTCCCTAGTGCTGACTTTAATAAGGACCTTCCTAAAGCTGGTCCAACTGGTGTTCAAGTCCCTAGACTGAAAAACAAGTTTATGAGCAGCAGGTCACCTGATTCTGACCATGTATATGCTATTTACCCTGAGATGACAGTGGCCACCATAGCTTTGATGAATGCTGCAAAGGCTCTATTATCCCTTTGAAGCATACTGGGGCCTCTACATGACTAAATCCCATAAAAAGGAAACCTGGGTGGGAAAGAAGGGAAGACACAAACATCATGCCCTGGTGGGAAAAACCTCATTCTGGACACTGAATTGTTAATGAAAACTTGTTACTTGTGTCCCTGATTTGTGAAATATGTGATTACATCATCACTAAAAAAAGTTCCCTGTTTTACCCACAATGTGCCTACTTGCTGTCAAGGCCCACTGCTTAGACTTGAACATTGCCCACAGTCAAGGGACAGAGGCAGCCCAGACCCAAGTGGCTTAGCAGATTCATATCAGTCATAAATGTCAGCCAGGAGAACCCAAACTCTGACCACAGAGAACAACCCAGTGTTGGGGACAAGAGAGTGGTAATGAGAGACTTACCCATCTCTTCCTTTGCTGACAATCTTTACTTCAAAGTAATAAATACCACAGGCAGCAGGTATGGGATGGGTGGCACGCACTGAAGCTGCATCTTTGTGATTTTTGCCATGACCTAAAGGGAGAGGGCAAGGAATAAATTTCAGCAGAAGGAAATAAAAATGGAAGGCTCATTCTCTCTGCTCCACGGTAACTTCACCCCTCACTGGCCAGAGTAAACCCTTATGCAGTCCAAGGAATAATTAAACAACTGAGTAAATAGATAAACCTCCCACCTTTGGCTCACCTCCTCCTGAGACTAGTTGCCTGACTGAGCCACATTCCCCCATAACAACAAAACAAGGGCACAGTCAATGTGGATCCATGTGAGAGATGCCTGAGTGCAACTGGCAGTCTCTCCACAATCCAGGCAGCCCACCTGAGACACCAGGGGAAGGAGGAGACAGACTAGGAAGTCATTCCCACCAACAACTTTAGCACAGAACCCCAGGCCCAGTCCAGGATGACTGACAAGCAGGCCAGTCCATGCACTACTGGCTAATGGAGAGGGATGTTATCGCCTCTTTTTGCCCGACTCCTGAAACAAAGTGGAAAAGGGCTGAACTGGAGTTGGAGCCAGCCCAGGACAAGCAAGGAGGCCCTAAAGTGAAAGGTCCAGCTCAGAACTGGTTTAGACACCTGTTGCAGTTATTTTGACGTTGGGTGTCTCAGGGCTGAGCAAAGCAGGCAGTCAACCCTCGGCCTGGTCAGCTCCACCACTCTGGACACTCCGCAGGGACGAAGGCCTATCTTGGAGCCCCAAGGCAGATACAGGGACGTGATGCAGCAGAGGCCAAGCAACACAGCTGCCCTGCGGACACTACGGACTTATCCTCCTGGGATCAGACAGGCCGATACCTTTGTAGTGGACGCGGAGGTTGCCCTGGGAGAGGCCGATGTAGTTGTACTTGTCCTTGGGGCTCCAGGAGCGCGGCAGAGGCGTCTCGTGCTGGTTGACCGCGGGGTACAGGCGCTGCAGGCGCCGGCTCAGCTCCTGCTCCCCGGGGGATGGCAGCCCACCCGCAGCGCCCCCGCCAGAGGAGTCTCCTGCCTGAGGGCTCCCAGCTCCCGGGTCCGCCGTCGCCGCCGCCATCTTGGAGGGAGCTGCTATTGTGTCACTGGGGGCGGGGAGGAGCGCGACCAGATCCGCCCAGCTCAGCCAATGGCTCGCGAGCCTCCCGGGGCCTCAGGGAAACTGAGTCCGAGTCGGGCACTTCTCTTTGGACACTGCCACGCCTCACCACATTTTGGACTGCATCTCCCACAATGCAGAGCTCCACAGGGGCGAGCCAATGCGGGCTGAGAGGGAAATTCGGGAGATGTAGTACACACCTGCTCCGTCCTAAGGCTGTCCAGCTGAGACTCCAGGACCCCGAAAACTACAATTCCCGCAGACAAAGCGGCCTCCGGCCTCTCGGCTCTCCTTCCTTCCCTGTGGTCTCTGCTTATCTCCCTGACTCAATTCTGTCGCTAATGTCAAACTTGCTGTATTGACTGTCTCCCAGGGCACCCTGTGCCCATGTCGAGTCCACCCTAACTTCTTGGTCTTCCTCCGAGCCCGCGGTCGCTGGACTGGGGGCGTGGCAGAGGTCGGATCCCGCCCTCACCGCCGGGCTGCTGGGGCCTGGTYGCCATGGCAACAAGCTGTACACTCCCGCAGCTTCCCGGGCAGTGGGTGCTGGCCACACGCCTGCCGGAGGGTCATGGCCTCCCTGCCGTCGCAGCGCTACAGCTTCTCCAARTCGAGGTAGGCGGTAACCCGGCTAAGGGCGGAGAGGATGGCTTCCAGAGAGAAAGATGACACCTGGTCCCGACCTCTGCAACACCTGCTGGCTTCTGTCCTTCGGGCTGGGGCTTCAGCCCGGCAGAATTAGTGGTGCAGAAGCAGTTAGAATTCTGGCTGACTTGTCAGTCCARTGAGGACATTACGTGTCAACAAAAAGGCAGGATAACAAAAGGGCCGGCACACTTTACTATTAGTAATCACAACTATCTTGTATTGAACATTAATATGCTGAATGCTTTCTGTACCACGTATAACCCTCACAACACTTCTATGAGGTAGTTACATCACCATTTTAAAGACATCTAAGCCTGGAGAGCTCATATGTTTTACACATACTTATGAATGGTGGAGTTAAAATTTGAACCCAGGCTGGACGTGGTGGTGAAATCCTGTATCCCAGCAACCTGCAATGCTGAGGCAGGAAAATCACAAGTTCAAGGTCAGCCTGAACAATTTAGCAAGACCCTGTCTCAAAATAAAAAATAAAAAGGTCTGGGGATGTAGATTAGTGGTAAAAACATTCCTGGGATCAATCCCAACAACTCAAGAGGTTAAAAGCAGGAGGATTATAAGTTCAAAGCCAGCCTTAGCAATTTAGTGAGACCCTGTTCCCAAAATAATTTCTTTTTTTGGTACTAAGGCACTGTAATACAGTGGTACTCTACCACTAAACTATGCCCCCAGCCCTTGATTCAGTGGTCAAGTTCAATCCCCAGTATTCCCCCCCCCCCAAAAAAAAAATACATCCTCCCCAGCTCTCTTTAAACTTTGAGACAGGGTCTCACTAAATTACCAAGGCAGGCTGAAACTTGTGATATTTCTGTCTCAGCCTCCTTCAAAAGAAAAATTTTAAAAATGACTGGGAACGTAGTTCAGATGAACTCTCCTAGGTTCAACCCCCTATTACCCCCCGCCCAAAAAAATAAATAAATAAAATGTTCCAAGACTGAGCTTCTATATCTCAAACATGAGGATGACACAGCCCTCCTCACAGTCACTGTTGAAAACATTTAAGTAAAATATGGGAAGCCCTGCCACAGTTCTTATATATCTATAATATAATTCTCAATGCAGAAAAGCTTGACTGTGCCCAGACTCTAATCATTCAGGGGATTCTGCCTTTACAAAAAAGAAAAAGAAAAAGAAAAAGCCTACAAAATTCCCCTAGAACAGGAAATAAAAATTCGAAGATTTTATCCAGAGCTAATAGTAAACTTGAGAAAGTGAGTTGTTTCTATCACAGGCATAATCCAGGACACTGCAATAATCTACAAAAGGGATGTAAAACAGACTCAGAAAGAGAATCTCCATCCATTTCAGAAAGAAAGCAGAATATAATTTCTGAGTGCTGAATTTGGTGGCAATACAAAATATCATTCATTCACCATAGTCTTCCTTTACCATTATGTAGTGACATACATGGGTCTGGGCTGTTCCCTTCAAGGAGCAGTGTGATTATCCTCTTCCAGCTCCTCTTAGACCAGGGACAACATGATGGATAGGACAGACCTTAGCACTGTAGAACATGTCAGCAGGATCCTCTAAAAAAGACCTTCAAATTGTATATTTCCCTGGGGCAGGTATCTCTTTCTTAAGGTCTTTTCTCCTTTCACCTTCACATTCCTACAGTCTATTGGTGGATGGAACTCACAGCTTGAGGTGAGGTTGCTCAATACCAGATACACTCTTGAGAAACCCACTGCCTACCATTGACTAAATAATTGAGTTCTCACCACCATGGATATAAAAATATATTTCCCATTCCCTTTTGAAGGTTGGTGTAAAATACTTAGAAGCATCCTAGGCTTTTTGGATAAGCCTACAGGCTCTACTGGGTGCTTTGTTTTGTTTCTGTAAATCTGCTTTTTACTATTATCTTCTTTCACAAAAATGTTGTAGAGTTGTATGATTGAAACTAGTTTTCTTCTCTATCAATCTCTTATCTACTAAATTTTTCCAATTGGAAATTTCTTATGATTATATATAGAGTTCCCCTCAGGTTTTCTGCTTACCTTGCCTTTTGTGATGTTTCCAGAATAAGCAAGAACACTACAAAATGACTTGATCTTGATAGGAAGGTATTGATTTAACCCAGTGAGTAGTTGGGGTTGATCTACTGTATCATCTTGTTTTCCAAGACTGCCTCAAACCCATGTACATCTGACCAGACACCTTTATTTCTCTGCACTAACTTCTTTTTTTATTTTAAACTGGCTTCTTATTTCTCATGTTTTGTCCACATTTGCCCAAAGGATTTGGATTGTTACTGATCCAAGGAGTAGGACTGAAGAATTCACAGACAGGGTTTCCCAGCTGGGTTCATGTGAATGCTCTCAAGTTCCCTAGAGTTTTGATAGTACTAGTCCCATTTTTAGGGGCAAAGACACTGAGGTTCATAGGTTAAGCAGCATACCCAAGGTCATCAGCTAACAAGGAGTATGAACACATAAGTCCACTTGGCAGTATACTCTACCCTTTGGATCTCTGAAATTACTTCTTCCTTTTATTCTACCTGGGCAAGCCTGCCCCCACATGTAGTACTCCGTGCTGACTTCCAAGTGCCTCCATAGCTTGAACAAGGCTGTTTCTCCTGATATTAAAAACTTCCTTAGGGTCCACTTTTTTCCCATCCTGCTGTCATAATTAACATCTGTGGAGCTTATTGCATTTTACACAGGTTTTGTTTTGTTTTTTTGATACCAGGGATTGAACTCAGGGGCACTCAACAAATGCTGAGCCACATCCCAGCCCTATTTTATTTTTTAATTTTATTTAGAGACAGGGTGTAAGTGAGCTGCATAGTGCCTCGCTTTTGCCTCAGCCTCCATAACTGCTGAGATTATAGGCATGTACCACTGCACCCAGCTACATAGTATTTTTGTATACCTCACTTTTTTAGTTGTAGATGAACACAATGCCTTTATTTTGTTTATTAATTTTTATTTAGTGCTGAGGATTGAAACTCAGGTGTGCCAGGCAAGCACTGTACCACTGAGCCACAACCCCAGCCCTGTATACCTCACTTTTATTTAAACTTCACAACATTGTGAGAGGCAAGATAAGAATTGTCTCCACTTCTTCTTTTAAAAAATATTTTTTTAGTTGTAGTTGAACACAATACTTTTATTTTATTTATTTATTTTTATGTAGTGCTGAGGATGAAACCCAGGGCCTCGCACATGCTAGGCGAGTGCTGAGCCACAACCCCAGCCCCTTGTCTCCACTTCTTTAAGAGCAGAGTAGACTGAGGAATAAATGTATGACTCAAGAGTGATCCATTTGGAACCCCAGATGTCAGTCCCCAAATCTTATCAGCCAGGAAACAGAGGATTCAGACTCTGCACACCAGCTCTCAGACCCTAGACCCTGTGCTACTTTTTTGCTATCACCTACTTTTGGGATCACCTCCTCAGAGCGTACCAGAATTGTGAAAATGAAACCATTAATGAAATATAAATCCAGAGTCTCTGGGTTCATGGTTAGGGTGTCCTGCTGTTGCAAGAGTTGGTGAGACTCTGGTGATGATGTTTCAGGAAAATGGTTTGGGTCCAGGGCCAGGGGCTTACTTGGCAACATCTCTGGGACTCTGGAGGCAGTGCTAGAAGACTCAGAGGCTGACTCTGATGGGAGGGAAGTCCATGCCTTGTGGATTTGGGAAGGATAGGAGGGCTCTTCCTACTCTGGGATCTGTTACCCACCACCACCTTCTCCTCTATGCAGAACACACCCACAGTCTTCAAGAATGAAGATAGATGACTGTCTCCGAGAACCCAAAAGCACCCAGAAGTGCAAGCTTTCTCAGAAACGAAAGACACTGGTTAGTGACAATGCCTTTTTGGATCTCCACATGTCATCCCCTAAACCCTATCTGTCTGCCTGTCTGCAACTCAAAAGCACCACCATCTGAAATACGCACACCAGAACAGCTTCTTCCTGGTCAGGATAGTGTGGCTCACAAAGGCCAAGCCTCCCAGACTTTGGGGAAGAGAGGAATGCACACTGGCCACTTGTCATCTGAAAAACCTTCCCAGACCCTCCTCCCAGGCAGAGCCCTCAGACCTTTCCCTGCAGCTCAGCATTCTGGAGTTTCTTTTTTTTAATATTTATTTTTTATTTACAGGTGGATACATATCTTTTTCAAATTTTATGTGGTGCTGAGAATTGAACCCAGGGCCTCGMGGGTGCTAGGCGAGCGCTCTACCTCTGAGCCACAATCCCAGCCCCCTGAAGTTTCTTCATCCAGCCTGCCATGTGTCAGGCATTGTGTTAGAAGCTGGCATGGTCASCAATCTCTGGGATCCTTCAGTGTAGTGACTATGCTTTTTTGTCCTTATGGCCCAAATGTTGATAGGATACTTGAGTGGTTGCCATAAGTTAAGAGCTCCATAAATGCTTATGAGCAG